CGTTTCCGCTCCTGAGCCTGAAGCGCTTCCAGGCCCGCCGGGGCGGCGTAGCGCGCTCACCTGAGAACCCGCGCCGCTCCGGTGGCTCCGCCCCGGGGCCCCGCCCCCTTCCCGCCCCCGCGCCCCGTGCCGCTCTCGCCGGGCCTCCGCCTCGTCTCTGTGGCCGCGCCACTTCCTCATCCGGGGCTCGAGCCGGGGGCGGGGCGTCGCGATGGAGCCTCCTGCCGGGGCTGCATCCTGGCTTTTTCTGCCCTCGAGCCCGAGAGCCTCCAGCCCCTCGGAGGAAATCCATTTCCTCCCAGTCTATCCGAGGTCGTTCCATGCCCAAGAGCTTAGTTTCCGACTTAGTGATTTCCCCACAGAGGAAACCAGATCCCTCAGAGCTCCGTTTTCTATTATATGAACGAAGTTAATGACGCATATGGCCTCACTGCACTGCTAAAAGGCGCCAAGGAGAGTTTCTGAAAGGACTTCTGTAAGATACAAGGGGCTGAGCACGCGAGAGTTAGTGCGACAGCCCCTGCTGCGAAGTGTCCGCTTATGGGGGTGCTTTTCAAACCCTTGCAAACTTTGAAAGACATTCCGAGCCCCTCTATTAGTAGGAATGGCTGCCGTGGCTTCATAGTCCTTCTGTAATCATCGCATCCCTATTATGTGGTGGATGCGGGAGGCAGATACTATTCTATTTCGCAGACCAGGAAACAGCTCGAGAACACAAAACCCTTCAGAAGGAAGCAAGGACGAATCCTGACCCGCTCCCAAAACGAAGCGTTTAGCGAACAGTCTTCGGTCATACCCAGGACACAGCCTAAATTCGCGTTATGTCAGGGTATCTTTCTCTCCAGCCAGAAAACCAGCGCTGAGTGGGCTGGGCCAAGGGCTCCTGACAGTTACCAGCTCCGCCTGCTGCCACTGCTGCCTCCGACCCCCCCCCCCAACCCCAGTCCAATCCACCGTTTCTGATCTGGACGGTAGCAATTCAATTGCAGCTGAGAGACCTTATAACAGGAATCAGTGGGTCATGCCACTTCTCTGCTGCTTCTAATCACACTGACCGCTAAATCTAAACGACACAGCACTTGTCTTAAATTTTTTTCTCTTTCTTTTTTTTTTTTTTTTTTGAGACGGAGTTTCGCTCTTGTTACCCAGGCTGGAGTGCAATGGCACGATCTCGGCTCACCGCAACCTCCGCCTCCTGGGCTCAGGCAGTTCTCCTGCCTCAGCCTCCTAAGTATCTGGGATGACAGGCACGCGCCACCATGCCCAGCCAATTTTTTGTATTTTTATTAGAGACGGGGTTTCACCATGTTGACCAGGATGGTCTCGATCTCTTGACCTCGTGATCCACTGGCCTCGGCCTCCCAAAGTGCTGGGATTACAGGCTGGAGCCACAGCGCCCGGCCCCTTAAATTTCTTTTTAACTTTAGCACTAACGATGCCCGTTTCTTAAGGTTTTTGGAAGACTTAAAAGAAAAAGTATGGTATACCGTAATGAAAAATTCTACAGTGGACCAAGGGGACCCTGCGGCAGGACAAGCAAAGTTCTTTTTTTTTTTTTTATTGCATTTTAGGTTTTGGGGTACATGTGAAGAACATGCAAGATTGTTGCATAGGTACACACATGGCAGTGGTGTGGTTTCTGCCTTCCGTCCCCTCGCCTGTATCTGTCATTTCTCCCCATGCTATCTCTTCCCACCTCCCCACCCCCCCCTTCCCTCCCGGCAACGTTCTTAAGCATGGATTCCTTTACGTTGGGACACAGGAGAAGTTAAGTAAATAATGCAAGTATTAAGTAATTGCAATTTATTTATTTATTTATTTAGATGAGGTCACCCTCACCCAGGCTGGAGTGCAGTGGTGTGATTTGGGTTCACTGCCATCTCTGCCTCCTGGGCTCAAGTGATCCTCCCACCTGAGCCTCCTGGTACCTGGGACTACAGGCGCGTGCTCAGCTAATTTTTGTATTTTTAGTAGAGATAGATTTTCACCATCTTCGCCAGGCTGGTCTTGAACTCCTGATCTTGTGATTCACCCGCCTCAGCTTCCCAAAGTACTGGGATTACAGGTGTGAGCCTCCAAGCCCAGAAAATTGTTTGTATCGTAGTAAAACATATATGTAAAGTGCATTGTAATAGTCACAAAATGTTTTAAGAATAACAATGTTATAGGCCCGGCGCGGTGACTTACGCCTATAATCCCAGCACTTTGGGAGGCCGAGGCAGGTGGATCACGAGGTCAAGAGATCGAGACCATCCTGGTCAACATGGTGAAACCCCATCTCTACTAAAAATACAAAAAATTAGCTGGGCATGGTGGCACGTGCCTGTAATCCCAGCTACTCAGGAGGCTGAGGCAGGAGAATTGCCTGAACCCAGGAGGTGGAGGTTGTAGTGAGCCGAGATCGCGCCATTGCACTCCAGCCTGGGTAACAAGAGGGAAACTCCATCTCAAAAAAACAAAAACAAACAAACAAAAAACCACAACAATGTTATGTTTAAAAATGTGGCAGGGCGTGGTGGCTCACGCCTGTAATCCAAACACTTTGGAGGCCAAAGCAAGTCGGGAGTTCAAGACTAGCCTGACCGAAATGGTGAAACCCCCTCTTTAAAAAAAAAAAACAAAAAACGTTTCTATGGGCCATGTGTGATGGCTTACCCCTGCACTTTGAGAGGCAGAGGCGGGCAGACCACCTGATGTTGGGAGTTCAAGACCAGCCTAACCAACACAGTGAAATCCCATCTCTACAAAAATACAAAACTAAGCCTGCCATGATGGGGGCGGGGCGGGGGGGGACCTGTAATCCCAGCTACTCAGGAGGCTGAGGCGGAAGAATCTCTTGAATTAGGGAGGTGGAGGTTACAGTGAGCCAAGCTCTGAGATTCTGCCACTGCACTTCAGTTTGGGCGACAGAGCCAGACTCCTTCTCAAAAAAAAAAAGAAAAAAGAAAAAAGAAAAAAAGGTCAGGCACCATGACACCTGTAATCCCAGCACTTTGGGAGGCCGAGGCAGGTGGATCACCTGAGGTCAGTAGTTCAAGACCAGACTAGTCAACATTGTGAAACCCTGTCTCTACTAAAAATAAGAAAAATAGGGAGGGCCGGGCATGGTGGCTCACGCCTGTAATCCAAGCACTTTGGAGGCCAAGGCAGGCGGATCACCTGAGGTCGGGAGTTCAAGACCAGCCTGACCAACATGGTAAAACCCTGTCTTTAAAAAATAAATAAATAAAATAAAATTTAAAAAAATAAGAAAAATTAGCCAAGCCTGGTGGTGGATGCCTGTAATCCCAGCTACTTGGGAGGCTGAGGCAGGAGATTCACTTGAATCCAGGAGATGGAGAGTGCAGTGAGCCAAAATTGTGCCACTGCACTCCAGCCTGGGCAACAAAAATGAAACTTCATATAAAAAAAAATGTTTCTGGGCCGGGCGCGGTGGCTCAAGCCTGTAATCCCAGCACTTTGGGAGGCCGAGGCGGGTGGATCACTAGGTCGAGAGATCGAGACCATCCTGGTCAACATGGTGAAACCCCGTCTCTACTAAAAATACTAAAAATTAGCTGGGCATGGTGGCGTGTGCCTGTAATCCCAGCTACTCAGGAGGCTGAGGCAGGAGAATTGCCTGAACCCAGGAGGCGGAGGTTGTGGTGAGCCGAGATCGTGCCATTGCACTCCAGCCTGGGTAACAAGAGTGAAACTCCGCCTCAAAAAAAATAAAAATAAAAATAAAAATAAAAAATGTTTCTGTGTTGCCACTTCAGAATACACACCCAGATCCCCCAAGATAATTTCTGCCTTTAGCAGCATTGGTTGATGGGACATTCTTACATCCCAGGGGAAGCTAATAGGAGTGTTTCTTTTTAGCTCTCAAGGGAATTTGATTCCTTTTCCTGAGAGATGTCCATAATGGGACATCTTAAAAAGGCAAATATTTTAACTTTTTAATTTGTCAAGTCTCATAAACTTTGAAAGCCAGGTGCAGTGGCTGGCCTGTAATCCCAGCACTTTGGGAGGCTAAGGCGGACAGATCACTTGAGATCAGGAGTTTGAGACCAGCCTGACCAACATGGTGAAACTGTCTCTACTAAAAACACAAAATTAGCCTAGTGTGGTGGTGCATGCCTGTAATCACAGCTACTTGGAAGACGGAGGCAGAATTGCTTGAATCTCCGCTGCGGTGAGCCGAGATTGCGCCATTGCACTCCAGCCTGAGCAACAAAACTCCGTCTCAAAACAACAACAACAAAAACAACAAGGTTCTGTAACCAACTGGAGACAGGGGTGACATTTATTTATTGGTGGGTGTAATTAGAGAAAGCAGAGGAGTGCCAAAAGAGTTTCCAGTAAATAAGATCTCCCGGGCTGCTAGAGTGGAAGCAGCAAGGCCCTTAGAGTTGTAGCCGTCTAGACTAGAAAAATGGTGGACTGGAACAGGGTGACAGCAGTGGAGGCAGGTACTGGGCCCTATGGCTCAGTAGAAGTAGAAAGATGTGTTTCCCGGGCCGGGCGCGGTGGCTCAAGCCTGTAATCCCAGCACTTTGGGAGGCCGAGGCAGGTGGATCATGAGGTCAAGAGATCGAGACCATCCTGGTCAACAGGGTGAAACCCCCGTCTCTATTAAAAATACAAAAAATCAGCTGGGCATGGTGGCGCGTGCCTGTAATCCCAGCTACTCAGGAGGCTGAGGCAGGAGAATTGCCTGAACCCAGGAGGCGGAGGTTGCGGTGAGCCGAGATCGCGCCATTGCACTCCAGCCTGGGTAACAAGAGCGAAACTCCGTCTCAAAAAAAAAAAAAAAAAAAAAAAAGATGTGTTTCCCTTTAAGGGTTTGAGCCGCAGGAGCGGTGCTGAGGGTGTTGAGGGCGGCAGGGGCTCGCAGAGGGCGGGAGGTCAGACGCAGGAAGAGCCTCCCTTTGGAGTGCGCGCGCGCGTGCGGGGGCGGGACTTGGGCGAGTCCGCATGGCTGGCTCGGGCCCCGGATGAGGAAGTGCAGGGGGACCATAGAGACGAAGAGGCGGCGGCGGCCGGAGCGCCCTCGGGCTCTGTTGGCTCGGCAGGCTCAGGTACACTTGGCGACGACGGGGCTGCCGCTGCAGAGGCTGGCGGGGCAAGCGCGGGCCGCGGAACGGGCCTCAGGGTAAGAGGCCGGGGGCGGGAAGGCTTCGGGTGTAGCCGCCCCGCCGCACTCCGCCCTAAGGGGTTCTTCCGCCTGGTGGTGCTGGCTGAAGGGTAGTGTGGGCCCCCAGCCTTCTCCCGGCGCGGAAAGGATCGAAGGCTGCTCTGCGGGCGGCGGAACGACCCAGGGAGAGGGAGGAGATCAGGCCTCGCGTCGCTGGGGAAAAGCGGCTTCTGACTTCTCTTCAACCTCGGTACAGCAAGGATCTCCCGACTCAACCTCTCGGGGCGGACGACGCCCCTTATCGGAGGCGGACGGTCGGCCTTAGCGCTCATCCGCTAGTCAGCAGAAAGAGACCCGCTCCCAGGGTTCGAGGGGCATTTTGAACTTACCCTGAGGAGGAGTAAGAGATAACCCCAAAGTGAGACCTTTCCCCCAACTTCGGTCAGCGTCTCCCAGGTGAAGAGGGAGACTCTCAACTTGCTTGGAAGTGACAGGGGATCAGACTTACCGTCTTCCTTTATTTTTCGTCTTTACCCCAAGATACAGAAAGGAAGACCTTGAAAATTTATGGTATCAGAAGTCGACCTATCTCCCTCTCCCCTCGTGATGTCCACAGAGGGGGCCGCTCTTCTCTTCTTCCCTTTTAAGTCTCCCGGTGTGCAGTGAGCTCCTTTCCCTTGCACAGTCAAGAGCATGGCTTTTGGAGTGATCGTTGCAAACCTGGGTCTCTCAACATCTTTGTGATCTTGACTCATTGTTTAACTTGTCTCAATCTCTGTCCATCTCCAATTTGGGTTCTGTTTTCTTTAAATTGTCGTGCGGGCTAAGGGAGCGTTTGTGTGAATGCTAGTTACATAGTAAGCTTTTGGTAAGGTTGTTATTAATCTGCTATAAAAGAAAATAATATCTTGCACAGAGAAGCAGTTTTTTTCCACGTGTGTCCCTCCCAACCCTCGTCACAAGTGTTCAGTTCATCCTTTTTTACTGGAGTGGAAGATTCCCTCCCACTTAGGGGTTAGGGAAAGAGACACTTCCAGTCCCCTTAGATCCTACTGTGCAGTACTCCTCCACATTAACGAGGAGGGCCTCACTGAAAATAAGAAGGAAAGACTTAGCTTTCGGAAACAGCTTTCTTACGAGAAAGGGAGACCTGATGTCTGAAGCCAGTCCTTTGTCCACAGAACGTACCGTTCCTGACTGGTTAGAGATGTCCTCTCCCACTTCCCTGACTTGCTATACTGAAGAAAAAAAAAAATCTTCCATCTCCATATCCCTCCCACCCCACCCGCCTCAGTGGGCGATTCCAAGTTCTTCTTTCTTTTGCTTTCCGAAGAAAATGAAGACTCTATACCTTTGAAGAGAGCTCTCTTTCCTCTTGCATATCTAGAATAACAGATTGTTTCTTTTCTTCTTTTCCTTTGAAAAAGAGATGAAAATCTTTTATGCAGGAAGCCTCTGTCAGTAGAAGTCAGGAGCATTTCCACTGTTGCACTCCTTACGTGGAGACAGAGGGATCCTTTTTCTGGATGTTATTAAAGGGAGGAAATGGGAAATAGTCCTTGATGCTTTTGAGATTTTCTGCACGCTCTATGTTGAAGCGCTTGGCCCTGTTTACTGTCTGAACTTACCTGCCTCGCTTTCAGTTTGTCTTGGGATTTTATTAAAAGAACCTTCTTTCTCTGTTTCTCAAGAAGAGGCCCATTCTTCAAATTTCCTCATGAAGGGAATGGCTACCATGTCTGAATCTTTGGGAAAGAAAGCCCTTTTCTCAAGGTGTAAGAGTGTTGTGAGCTTCTGAGGTCCCGGTCATTATTGTGAGTATTGTTCCCAGAAGCAAGCATGGCAGACCCTAGTGTTATTAACCGCCCCCTTTGCATTGGAATTGAAGGAAGGGAAAACATTCAGACTCGAGATTATTGGGGCACATTGTTTTCTGTTTTGTTTTGCTTGTTTGGGTTCTTATTTTTTGCTTGTTGCTGTAAATTTTGTACCTCCAGAACTCTTGGGGAGTGTTTGAATGACTAAAAGTTGCCACTTTGTCAGATTTTTAGTGTTATAAAATGTGTTCTGATGAGTTTGAGAGCTGCAGTGTTGTTAATCCTTCACTGGTAGGGTTTTTTGTTTTTTGTTTTTGGTGGGATAGGAATTAACACTGCCAAATTACCTGAAGGCACACTAAAGAAAGGCTTACCATCTTTTTTTGTATGTAAAGTGTTCTTAAATTACCTCAAATGCCCTTGAGTAATTGCAGAAGGGATTAGTCGCAGCTCTGTACCACCATTGTTGGTGTCTGTAGGTGTGCTTTTCTGAAACAAAGGGAAACAAAAGTTATTCTTTGGAGTCTTGGAATTTTTATGGGTGACAGGACCCTTTGAGCTTATTTTGATGAACATGTGAAAAACAAACCCAGGAAAGTTTACTCAGCTTTCACTTAACACATTTAAGACTCTCCAGCTAGTAAGTGGAAGACAGGAGAAGGGACCCTGGCTTCCTGATGAAGAGACCAGCAGTTAAGACTGCTGGCAGAAGTATTTGTGTATTTGCAACAGAAAGAGCATGAAATAATTGTCTTCAACTTAAAATAATTTCTACTTTTAATGGAATAATACTTTTCATACTTCCTATAAATATTAGTCACTTTTCAGGAATAAATCCATTCCCTACACCATCTAATAGAATACTTATTTGTGTTGTAATAAAGACAAGCCAGTAGCAGCTGTCAAGAATTGTTCATAAATCTATGGTTTATTTTTTGCGTATACCTCAAACTAATTATCTGGTATCCTCACCCAGTAGGTTGATTATAAGTCATTAGCAAGGATTAAGCTGTAAATCCCTGTCTACATTTTATAAGCATGTATTAATCACTCTTCCCTTTCACTTCATGTTTAGCACTTTGAAAGCATTGATGGTTAAGGCAGAGAGCTGACAGTTGGAAAAATACTGATAAAACAAAGGGATAATACACTTACCAGCTGTTTTTTTATTGCTGTGCATTTAGATCTTGAGAATAATGATTAGACAACATTTTAAAATAAGTAATAGATACCGTTTTAAAAAATAAGTACAAGGCTGGGTGCAGCAGCTTACTCTAGGAGGCTGAGGTAGGAGAATCACTTGAGGCCAGGAGCTCAAGACCAGCCTGGACAATGTAGTGAGACCCTGTCTCTACAAAAAATAAAAATATTTCTTGGATTCATTGGTTCATACCTGTAGTCCTAGCTACTTAGGAGGCTGAGGCAGGAGGATTGCTTGAGTCCAGGGTTGAAGTTACAGAGAGCTATGAGCATGCCACTGCATTCCTGCCTGGGCCACAGAGTAAGACCCTGTCTCAAAAAAAAGTTCAATATACAGATAAGTCATTGGTGATCCTGTTGTCCAAGGAAACACTGTGATATTGGCGCGCGTGCGTGCACACGCGCACACCCACACACACACTTTTTTTTTTTTTTTTTTTTTGAGACAGAGTCTCCCTCTGTTGCCTAGGCTGGAGTGCAGTGGTGCTATGGTCAGCCACCGCACCTGGCCTTGGCTTATATTCTTTCAGACATTTTTCCTACTTGTATATCTGTTTACCAAAACAAGAGTCATGATGTTTATTTGATTTAATAAAATGTCCCAGACAACTATGTAGAAATATATATATATATATATATATATATATGTATGTATACATGTATGTATATATATTTTTTAAACTAAGTGTAGCTCTGTCGCCAGGCTGGAGTGCAGTGGCATGATCTGGGCTCACTGCAACCTCCACCTCCTGGGTTCAAGCGATTCTCCTCCCTCAGCCTCCCGAGTAGCTGGGATTACAGGCACATGCTGCCACGCCCAGCCAATTTTTGTATTTTTAGTAGAGATGGGGTTTCACCATGTTGGCCAGGGTGATCTGCCCACTTTGGCCTCCCAAACTGCTGGGATTACAGGCATGAGCCACCATGCCCAGCTCCAGTATATTTCTGCATCATCCTTTTTGATTGCTCCATTGTATTCAGAAATTTAGTTTTAAAGAACTTGAATGTCTTCACAAAATCGGGTTCTGTCACTGTGGTCTTATAGCATTACCAATATTTTGATAGATGATATGGCTAGTGAGCTGAAAATAAGTTTAACCTACTGCTGTAGGCTTGCATCTAAATATCACTTCACCTCTGAGGGTTCCAGCTGTTCTTGGTAACACGTCTGCAATTTTTTTTTTTTTTTTTTTGAGACGGAGTTTCGCTCTTGTTACCCAGGCTGGAGTGCAATGGCGCGATCTCGGCTCACCGCAACCTCCGCCTCCTGGGCTCAGGCAATTCTCCTGCCTCAGCCTCCTGAGTAGCTGGGATTACAGGCACCTGCCACCATGCCCAGCTAATTTTTTTTGGCATTTTTAGTAGAGACGGGGTTTCACCATGTTGACCAGGACGGTCTCGATCTCTCGACCTTGTGATCCACCCGCCTCGGCCTCCCAAAGTGCTGGGATTACAGGCTTGAGCCACCGCGCCCGGCCAACACGTCTGCAATTCTGCTGAGAAATTTGAGGACCCAGAATTAGTCCATTAGGAAAAGGAGGGGGGGTCTGTGTTGCTTCCCCAGCCAATGTGCCTAGTTGCTTTAGAGGTTGAAAATTCTTAGGATTTGGTCCAAATAAGAGTATCAAGAGGTGAACCATTTTATATGATTATCCATATTGATTCTTTATTGATACAGATCTGTTCAGTATACCTGTATTTGTGCATGACCCTATGTGGAGCAACATTTGGAACAAAATTTTGAGCTAGAACTGTGCGGATGGAAAGGACTAGGATTTACTAGAAACGCTGCAGGGAGATAAGTCCATAGGCTGCAGATGCTGATTGAATGGTGAGGGGAAGTCAGATATGGTTATGGCTGGGGATTCAAATCTGAGTTCTAGAATAATGATGGTGCCTTTTCTGAGAAGCAACAGGATTAAGAATAAGCATGTGGCCGATCACAGTGCTGCTCACGCCTGTAATTACAACATTTTAAGAGGCTGCGGTAGGAGGATCACT